CCTGCTCGTCCGGCGCGACCGCGGGTAGTCGATCCTTTGCCGTATGCGCCTCGCCGAGTCTTCGCTTGAGTTGTGAAACATGTATGACCGGATGGATATGAGAATCGTCCGGCAACTCAAGTCGATAAGCAACCTTCCCAACCTTGGCCAAAATTTTATAAGGCCCGTAATATCGAACTCCGAGCTTGGTCGCGGCCCTTTGCGCGACCGTCCTTTATCGGAATGGCCTCAACTTCAAGTACACCCAGTCCCCGGGCTCAAACTCTACGTCACGCCGCTTGCCATCATGGTACGCCTTCATCCTATTGATCGAGCCTTCCAACGTCCGCTTTAGCTCGCGCAACATCAAGTCTCGTTCGACTAACTCTCGATCGACCTCGTCATTCACGGCGCTCCCCATCGAGTAACTCACGATCGTCGGCGGTTTGCGCCCGTACACCAACTCGAACGTCGTTGCCTTAGTCGAGCTATGGTAAGTGGTGTTATACCAATACTCGGCCCAAGGTAGATAATTCTCCCATCGCTTCGGAAATTGATGCACATAGCACCTAAGGTACTGTTCAAGCGTGCGATTGGTCACCTCTGTCTGTCCGTCGGTTTGTGGATGATAAGCTGAGCTCATGCTTAGCTCGGTTCCCTGCAATTTAAAGAACTCCGACCAAAAGCTACTCATGAATATCCGATCTCGGTCGGACACAATCGACCGTGGCACCCCATGTAATTTCATCACATATTCGACAAATAATTTTGCTATAGACTTAGCCGTGTATGGGTGACTAAGTGGAATAAAATGCGCATACTTGGTAAGGCGGTCGACTACCACCATGACTCCATTGAACCCATTCGAGAGTGGCAACCCCTCGATAAAATCCATGGTGATGTCCTCCCAAATACGTGCGGGGACCGGCAAGGGTTGTAGCAGCCCGCCTGGTCGACGCGCGTCCGCCTTAGTGCGTTGGCACTCATCACATCGCCCAACGTAGCCGCGCACATTGCCCCTTAGCCCTGGCCAATGAAAAGTGCTCGCAATCCTCATCCATGTCCGGAATACCCCGGAATGTCCTCCAAACTTCGAGTCGTGGAAGTGCCGGATGATGTCCTCGCGCAACGATCCCGCCTCAAGCACGACGAATCGCCCATGATAAAGAAGCAAGCCATCGTGCATGTCATGGTCCTCGTCCTTGTCGCGTCCCTCGTTCAGTTTCTTGACCACGTCCTGACAATGCGCATCCTCGTTTTGCACCTTCCGAAGCTCTGCCCAAACAGCCCACGTCGGCCCCGTAACTGCGTCGAGTTCGGCCACGTCTTCCCGGCGAGACAATGCGTCGGCTACGGTGTTCTGGCGACCAGGTTGATACACTATCTCGAAGTCGAACCCCATCAATTTGGACACGAACTTCTGCTGCTCGGGCGTCACGATCCTTTGTTCGAGCAAGTGCTTGAGCGGCTGCTGGTCTGTGACAATCCGAAAGTGTCGTCCAAGCAAATACGGCCTCCACACGCGTACGGCCTCGACCACGGCCAGCATTTCCTTTACGTATGCGGACAACCCTAAGCGCGCTGGCCCGAGTGCCTTGCTGAGATAGGCCAAGGGTCATCCTTCCTGCACCAAAACAGCCCCGATTCCAATATCGCTCGCATCCGAGTGAATCTCGAACAACACATCGAACCTTGGCATTGCGAGCACGGGCGTGGTCGTCATGGCCTTCTTCAGCTCCTCGAAAGCCTT